TACGTCATTTCGTTTCATATTAGCTTAATGATATATAATGTGCTTAATAATAAAGACTTAAGTCTTAATCCGATTTCGTCAAGAAAATTAGGTGGATTAGACATTAAGTCATTCATACTAAAGATAATCGTGTGTCACAAGTCAAGTGACTTAAAGTGAGTTCAACTTGGTTGAAAAGAAGACACTGAAACGAAATCATCAAACGTATTTATATAAAACGGCGAATACACGTACAACTATACGTGTTTAACGGAGCGGTGGTTAGCTCTGCATCGTGGGAGTTTGTGCGTTAATAAATTTCTCATTTTGTAAGATAACCACCCCATTACATATGATAATAAGAATATAATATAGCATAGCTCTACTTATGATTATCATGGAATATGGTAAAAAATATTCGTTATATATAAAAGATCTCTTTATAATATTGAAGTCATAATACGAATGGCACTGTCATATGGGCTTGATAATGTTTCATTATTAAGAATGTCATTGGATTGTTAAAGTTACTAAGTGTATCAAGTATATGCAGACTTTTTTACATAGAACTGATACGAAACTATTATTTAAGGATATAATAAAAGGTCATTTGTAATGCGGAACTATTACAGTTATTTATTTTAAACGGTGTAATATGATAGTAACTATCATATAAATAAGAATTTATTATTATAAGAAGAAAACTTTAGATATAATATATGACAAATTCTAATAAACATAGAAATTTAGTATTATTAAGTTTTCATGTCCCGATGATGTTTAAATTATTGCTGTTAAAAATGTTTTATGATATAGTTTAACGTAATAGCAATATAAAATCAATTTTTTTTTGTTGAGAGACGTTAAATTTAGCATCCCTTTTTTTAGTTTAATAAATTTGTATAAATTATATTCCCAAATAGTCTTGTGTAATTTTATAAATGTTTCTATCTTCAAAAGAATCCACATAGTTAAGAATTTTTTTTTGCAAGAGTTATCTTTCTACGAATTGAACTAATTAAGAATCATTTTCTAAAATTAAGCGATGAGTAGAAAATATCGAAATTGATTGAATAATAGGTAGCAATAATTGAATATCTCAAAATGTCTCAATGCACTTTTAAAATATAATAATTAAGAAAATTTCGGAATAATTCATCTTTGTAAGTTTATACTGCTTTTTTATCAATGAAGAGAGTAGAAAAGAAAAAATCTCTAGTTAGCCTCCATCTTCATAGCGACCATAAATATGGAGAGAACGCTATTGACGGAAGCTGTTCATTGAAAACCAACTTATATCTACAATAGTAAGTGGTTAGTTTGATGAGTGAGAACGTGGTAATACTTGATCGCGGCCTTGAAGACTATGAAACGCAGATTCTTGACTACCTTGGTATATTTTTATACTAAAGTAAAGGAAGTGTATGTATTCTCTTGAACCTTCGCTCCTCCATGAAAAATCAAAGAGTGGAATCGCTTGCATTAACGCCGATTTTTTCTTGTTGATCCAACATGATACCGAGCAGTGATCGACGAAAAAAGAAGTAAAACACATCCGCAGTGAGTAAGAAGAGAAAAAAATAGAGCAATATGTCAATACATGTGTGACCAGCTTCCCTTATTACCACCTCACTTCCACTTGCCCTTAATATACAGGGTGAGTCATTTTAATTTCCCCAGTCTAATAACTTTTGAAACAAGCAAATTACGCAAAAATGTTTCAGACCAAAGTTGTAGGGGTTCAAGGGGGACATCTAGGGGTGACTTTGAAATTGACCTTGAGCTTGACCTTGACGGCTTTCTCAAGGTCAAGTCTATTTTTTTATTGGGAACCCCTATTTCTGACCTCGGAATCGGAAAGAGCGGGAAATTTTACATCCAGATAACATCTTTTAACATGGGTCAAAATAAACCCTTAAGGTCATGCTAAGGTCAAAACTATCCTGGAACAAGAATCGAACAATGTAAGCAAAATACGAAAAAATGACTCAGAAAAAAGTTGTAGGAGTTCAAAGGGGACGTCTAGGGGTGACTTTGAAATTGACCTTGAGCTTGACCTTGACGGCTTTCTCAAGGTCAAGTCTATTTTTTTATTGGGAACCCTTATTTCTGACCTCGGAATCGGAAAGAGCAGGAAATTTTACAGGATTTAAATTTTTTAAATTTAAAAATTTTTTAAATTTAATTTTTTTAAATTTTACGGGACTATTCTTGTTTCCGTTCCCTATCCTTTTTTATTTTTCACCGGACTGTATGATTATTATTAATAAATTTCAAATATTGGAAGTTGTTGCTAATAATTTGCTATTACAAGTCTATTAAATTAATGAAACTATTTCAGTATCAATCTGATGTTCTGCAAAGAAATAAGAGTAAAAGTTAAATACATAAGGATAAATTTCATGTTCAATGAAGAATCTATTACATTTGGAAGTCGTTTAGAAAGTAATCGCAATACGTTCAGTCGTGATTTCAATTTTGAAAAAGCTTTAAATATTACTTTTGTTTTAACCATGCTTGTGTTCATTGTATCACTATCATTATTTCTTCATATTTGAATAAGAGACCTTTCTTATTGCCATCGATCATATGAAATCTAATTTGGACAATATTGCCTCTGTTTTCAGTAATATTTAATTTGTATCATCTTTCTATGATCTTTGCCTTTGTTGATTTGTATTGAGGTTTTTTGAAAAAATCTTTTAAATATGGCTGATTTTACCCCAACAGAGATAGTTGATATGATTTGGATTTTAGGAGAATGTAGAGGTAATTACCGTGAAGCGTCAAGGTTGTATCGAATTCGATACCCACAAAGGCGCCATCCTGATCACCGTACCATTTATCGTCTTGAAGAAAGAGCTCGACAAGGGCATCTACGAAGAAGTCGACCAAGACATGAGTATGATGATAGAGATGCTAGGGTTTTGGTTGTCTTAGGATTGGTTCACCTAAATCCTCATATCAGCAGCCGACAAATAGAGAGAGAAACAGGAATACCTCAGAGAACCGTTATTAGAATTTTAAGAAGTAATAGATATCATCCCTATCATATTACCTTAACGCAAGCATTAAACGCTAATGATATGAGAAACAGAGTAAATTTCTGTCGGTGGGCTCTACAGATGATTTTGCAGGATCCGAATTTTTTTAATTATGTCCTTTTTTCTGATGAAGCTACGTTTCATAGTACTGGCCAATTGAATCGTCACAACAGTCATTATTGGTCTGATCAGAATCCTCACTGGTACAGACCAGTCGATAATCAACATCGTTGGAGTGTAAATGTATGGTGTGGAATAGTTAATGGTCATCTCATCGGGTCATTCTTTTTTGAAGAAAACGTCAACGGCAATGCTATTTTAGAACTTTTAAGGGATCATCTCCCACTTTTACTTGAAGACGTAGATCTTGAGACTAGACGTCGAATGTGGATACAACTGGATGGTGCAGGACCGCATTTCGCTTTAATTGTACGAGAGTTTTTAAATAGAAATTTCCAACAAAGGTGGATTGGAAGAGGTGGTCCAGTTGCTTGGCCTGCACGATCACCGGACTAAACTTCCCCAGATTTCTTCCTTTGGGGATACTTAAAAAATACTGTGTTCGCCGAAGCGCCCACAACAAGGGAGAATATGATAGAAAGGATTAGAGTTGCATGTAGACAAATCTCTAGAGATATCTTACTGCGCACTATTGAAAGCTTCGAACAGAGGCTCAGGCAATGCATCGACGTAAATGGTAATAATTTCGAGCAAAACCGATAGGAAATAAGTTTATTCTAGTTTCATCACGAATTGTGAGAGGCAAGGGGACTCACATTAATAAAGCACCCCAAATCGTGAGAGGCAAGGGGATTCACGTTAATAAAGCACCCCGAATCGTGAGAGGCAAGGGGACTCACGTTAATAAAGCACCCCAGAGGGAACATAATCCTATTACGTCCACGTCGTTGTTCCTGGGTAGTGCTAAAGATAGGAAGTTTATGATCTTAAACATCAGCATCGTTAGTACATGGCCAGTTCCTTATTCTTTGGAAGTTTATTTAACAACGGTCATATGCGATAAAAGCTTCGCCTCGAAATGTAACAAAAATAAGAGAATTTTCAAGAATTTGACCTTTGCTTCACATTGAGAATAGAAGTACGACAAAGGTCTTCGATGCTCGTTAAACCTTTTGATGTTTGAAAGCGGCTTCAATTTCTTAAGTAAAAACTGAAATATTGTTTATGTTCTTATGAAAAAAAACTAAATAGATACTTGAACGTAAAATTTCCCGCTCTTTCTGATCCTGAGATCAGAAATAGGGGTTTCCATTAAAAAAATAGAAATGACCTTGAGAAAACCGTCAAGGTCAAGCTCAAGGTCAATTTCAAAGTCACCCCTAGATGTCCCCCTTGAACCCCTACAACTTTGGTCTGAAACATTTTTGCGTAATTTGCTTGTTTCAAAAGTTATTAGACTGGGGAAATTAAAATGACTCACCCTGTATAGTTATTAACGTGTCTGCTCGTAGCAATATCAATTAACTCGTGGAATGTTATTATATCGCTGAAAAATTATCCTTGGTTTATTTTACTCTAAATTTTATCTAAATTTTCTTTGTTGCACAACAAAAAGACTAAAATAATTCGTATTTTATCGAATAATACCGAAGAGTATTTTATCGAATAACCTGTGAAATCTTGATTTTGGAAAAAAGCTTACAGTAACTTGAGCTTACCGTCATAAGCTTGTAATCGTCTCATTTGATCGTTCAAACTGTTATAGACCAAAATAAGTAACACTTGGCTGAACGTATCAACGGTTATACCATCAGTTATTTTCCGGATCTACTCGTATATATCTGTATATCTCATATGTGCTTACTATCATCATGCTTAACGTAGTACTTGTCAAGAGGGTACTTTGATTTGTGAAAAGCTCCTCCTCATCATCAGTTTACTTGAAACAAAATAATCGTACTTTAAATGTATCTTTTTAAATTTAATCATCTAATTAATTAGAAACTTTGCCGGCAGGTCGAAATGGATGGACTAACAGGAGGTATCAAATTTGATAACCAAGGTTTTAGATCAGATTTTGAACTTGATATAATAGAATTGAATACAAAAGATGGCTTGAAAAAAATTGGAAATTGGAACAGTACTAAAGGAATTAATTTTACTCGTAGTTATGGAGAAGTATATACTCAAATAGTAGATAGTTTACACAATAAAACATTTACTGTGACTACTATATTGGTAAGTAATTATTAAAATGTATATTGTGAATGGATTATTCTCAAAATTCATAGTTTATAGTCTAACTAGTATGCTTTGAACATAAGTCAAGCGTATTCAGGCGACCAAAAGGGTAAAAGAGATAAAACTTCTCGCGTACGTTCTTTCGCGCTATTTTCATTACATGAACATATGGTATCACAAAGGAACGTGAGTGAATATAGTATTTGTCATATATCGATATGCAACATGAAAAAAAGCTCGAGCAGTTTCATAAGCAGTTCTGAGTTTTAGAGTTTCATCTAACAATGGATATTTTGTAGCGAACCGAAGTTTATGTACAACTTGTATGACCGTATTCCAGTACCAGACATAATAAAAAAATTGTATTGAGAAATCATTACATCGGGGTACGACTGAGTTGTTACAAGTACACCTACCGTACACGTACAGCTTATTTTTTTTTTATTAAGTTTATATTTGATTCTATGTCTTACCAAATCATTTATGTTATGCACGAATGGTTGTAAAAAGTAACTCATTTTCGATTTATTATGGTCAAACAGGATACAAGAAACAATTGTCTATTTGATTCAATCTGTATTTTTTTTTATTTACTCCAAAAATATTTACAATATATCTCACAGATTGAGACAATATGTAAATGATACTACTATTAGACATATATATATATGTTAACATTTAGCCAGTATACTCCAATGTGTATTCTTACTTTGTTTTACAATGGATTTTAACAGTTTAGTTTAATTTATTTTATTTGCATACTCATAATTTTATGTTTTTTTAAATCTGGTGTTTGTGATTACGGAGTCTGTTGACAAGTTTGTTTGGGTGATTTTGAAGTCTGGAGTTATATTTTGCGTAAAAATTTTCAATTTATTCTTCGACGGTTGTAACCTGTAGATCGTTTTGGATAATTTTGTTTGATACGAACCATGGGGTCAATACTATTGTTCCGGCCGGAATGAACGTCGCAAGGCCAGTTTTGGCCAAATTTATTTTGATTCACTGCATAACAGGAAGTCGTGACGTCACTCGAAGAAGGTTTACACCGGTTTCACCTAAGGGTCAACGATTGTCCATTAACTTGTTTTCTGTTTTGCTCCCTGTTTTTTGAATGAATTAACAACACTTTTGTTTTCTTCTTTTGTATTCTTAATTTTGCTACCTGTTACAACTTGCTTGGTGACGTCAGCAAACAGGCCACTACGTCTGCAGGCTTCAAGGGGGTAGGCATTCCTTGGCGAGCATGATGGTGGAGTGGGAGACGGATTCGAGGCGCTCACTAGAGTTGATACGAGAGACAAGCGAGTTGGCGGGTCAGTTCTTTCCTGCTCACCGGCGGATCGGTCATCTTCACTTCCGGCTCTCGCCTATACCTCCGTGCGGTCTCACGAGTTTATAAAACGTTCTTTTATTTGATTATACAGTGCGGTGACTTATCTCTCCTTGCTATGTAACCGTAAAGGTGAATAAAATAGTTATTTGGAACAACGGCGTTATTCCTCACATCAACGACCCTATCACCCCTCCATCAAACCGGCCCTTCTTAGCGAGCGTGATTTCCTTAGAAGAAGCAACTCGACTAAAATCATCTCGCTAACAACTATATTGCGTAAGACTTTCGATTGAAATATTTCCAGGATTTCAATATTCGAATTTGAAGCAGCTCCCTATAGTTAAATACCATAAGTCCAGACTGGTTTAAGCATAGCTTTATACAACAGCAGTTTGTTTTCAATTGATGCTCCGATTTTCCCCCGATGAACCAGTACATTTTCTTCCATTTTAGACTCAGCTGTTACGTTTAGTGAATATATGCTCCCTTCATGCAAGTCTTTGGTCTAGGTGAATACCTAGATATTTTACTTGATTACTTGGCGGAATGAGTTTTTCGTTTAATTTAATAGGAGGGCAGATATCTTTTCGAAGTGTGAATGTCGTATGCATTGATTTACTTTTATTTACTATTATTGTCCAGGAGTTAAACCAGTTTTGAAGGTGGTTATTTATGTAGTTTTGTTTCAACTTTTTATTATGTAAATTGTAATATTTATTGTAAAAAAGGGCAGAAAGCAGTAATAATTAATAGGTCTAAGCGATTTCAAATCGTTGTTTATTAACAGGTGCTAGCCCGTTTGAGCCATAGTTTGATGGTTAAAGGGAGGCCGAAAGCACCTGAGCGACGATATAAGCAGAGAGTGCGACCCAAGCGTGCAGCCTAGAAATATTAGCCAGGCGTAGCAAGCAAACAGCAGGCTCCGATCTTAAGTAAGATATTTTATCTTATAATTAGATAGTTTGCGGAGACTACACGCGCTCATAATATCGCGAGTTTGCGCTTTGAAAAGAAGGCAGTAAGGGTAGTAACACTAATTAGTGTATACCCCGATCGTACCTTGGGTGATAAGAAGCGGTAGTGGTCGAATAGGCGGAAATTTTAAAGCCTCGACCGTATCCTACATCTGTGCGGAGGCAAGATATCTCTGTTGTCAGCCCAAATCGACAAATGGACATTAGAGCTGACCTGGCAGATTTAAGCAGGGATGGAAGCGTCATCCAGCAAACGGCTAGGCTAGGCAGATGGTTGCTGGGTGAGTACAGCGTCGCAGATTTTGAAGAGACTACGCGCAGTAAAGAGATGGCGGAGCACAGGAGGCGCACCCGACAAGCATGGCTTGATACAATCTGCGACGAGTTGGAAAACATCAACGCAGAGAAGTACAGCGACCATCCATTGAGAATCATCAACAGGAAAAACCTTGACAAATATGTCAAGGACATTCGCTTGCCTGGATGAGGACTCGGAGGTTGAAGCCAGCCGCCAAAAAGAGGATGACATAATTCAGAGGGTACTCCGCACCCAAGAACAGGAGGAGGGGGAGAGGAGATGGAGCAACCCGGATCTAAGGTTGCAGGAATCCTGGACCCGGCAGGAGCCTCAAGGAGAATTATTTTTGGGCGAAGCCTTCCGGGAAATAGAGTACCTGATGGAGGAAGTCGATCACAACCGCAAGCTAGTCGCCCGGATCCTAGAGACATGGCATACAGGTGTGTACGGATCGGGAGGCGCAGGACATGCGTCAAGTAATACGAGAGCTAGAGGACGGAATGTATAAAATGGCCGATGTAGTCCGTTTAACCCAGCGCGACTTGATTTAACCGCGCCCCAGACGCAATGTGGACTTCTAGTACACATTTACTTGCCACTACGACTCAGAGATCCCGGACCCAAACTCGACGATTTTCTCTCAGCACCCATACCAGCCAAGCAAAAGAACGGTTGGTAATAAGTTCCAGACCGCTGCAGTAGCCAGCGAAGGGAAAGAACGTGCAAAGAAGGAGGGATATCTGCAGCACAGACAGGGAGTGGAGAAATCTGCCAGGAGGCCTACCGAGCAAATAACAGTATCGGCTGCACAAAATTCCACTTCTAATAAGAAGATGGAGGAATGACTGAAAGGTATCGATAGACTCCTGCGCAAAATGGCCAAGGGAAGGCAGGACAGTCCTTTAGAATAACGCAAAAGCCGATTGCGTGGGAGAAGGAGGAATTCTCCTCCTCCAAGGTCTCCTGGCAAGCGGCGAGAAGGACAGAGGCGGAAGATTGACTTCACGAAATTTCTTCAGTGTTCCGCTTGTGGCAAACTGGGATTTAACCGTAAGTTCTGCCCAGATTTCAACAAAGGAAACGGCAAGGAGACCGAAGAGAAGAGGTCATCTTCGCGCCTCCAGTAAATTTGACCTCTCCCCGCGAGTCATCGACGGGAAAGAGCAATTTGCGGACGATCCAGGAATCCAAATAGGTTCTAAGAGGGCAGCAAGAGGGCCCAGCACCTAGCAGTACAATAGAGCAAAAGATGATCGCGCCCGTTGCCAGCCCTTGGCAGAGCAGGGGGGCATTTATCCTGGAAGGAGCAGGCGGCCATATACAAGTTGTGGAGGAAGAAGATGACTCAATAGTTAAGAGGTTCGATCAACCCGAAGACCTGAAAGGTTCGAACCCCTCCACACAAAAAGATTCTCCACCTAAGGAGTCCACAAGTAGGAGCAAGCCCATCGTCGTAGCAGCAGCTGAAGAGAAAAAGCCGCTGAGAAGCACGTCGAATGGAAGAGAAAATGCGACTTGTGGATACGACCCAGAAGATGAGATTGAATGGTGGTTGCGGGTAGACATAGGTGACTTTAAGATTAGAGCACTCTAATTGCCGTCTTGATGGCAATTCCCGGTATCCCATCCGGCCCTGGCGCTTTCCGGGTTCGAATTTTCTTCGCGGCTACTATCAGTTCTGCTTGGGTTACTTCTGTAAACTCGGTTTCATCGTCTCTTTCCATTAGGCCTGTTTGTTCTGGTCTCTCCCGATGTCTTGGGAACAGATGTCGCACTACTCTGTCGGGGAATAATGGGCAAGATGGTGGTGCGCCACTCCTGGGCTTGATCTTGCGCATGACCGTTTTATACGGCTGGCCCCAGGGGTCCTTATCTACTTCCTCGCAGAAGTCTCGCCAGCACTGTCTCTTAGCTGCTTTGATGGTGACCTTGAGCAGTGATCGCAGCTCCTCATATTTTTCGGTCAGAGCCTGGAAGTTGGGCTTGTTCCGTGCTCTTTGATGGCGCCTTCTGGCTGTGAGACATTTATGTCTCAGGCTTGCGATGTCCTCGTTCCACCAATATACCGATAGTCGACCTCTTGCGTTATTTTTTGCTGCCATGGATGCATCACATGCAGTTTTCAGAGCACGTGTGAGACCCTGCGCCTTTTCCTCCGCGGTTCCGGACACTGATGTTCCTTCGAGGGAGTAGAGAAATGACTCTCTGTCGAATGTATTTGGTGCCCATCTCCTCTTGTTTTCCGTTGACCTGATGGATACCGCTGGTTTGGTCAACTGGAGCCGGTACGTTATGGCTTGATGGTCACTGCCCGTGTACCGATCGCTGACTCTCCAGTTGAGCTCCTCCGTCAATAGTTTGGCATATATGAAGGTAACATCCACTATGG